TTTGTAATTATAATCAAAGTTAAATGTCAAGTGGCAAAACAATTAATGTCATATATAGAATAATTCATAGGATGGATAGAATTTGGAAAGGGTGTGCAATATAGGATTAGTAGACAAATCGAATAAAATAAAGACATTACGTAATACTGTGTGAAATTTGATAACACAGAAAAGCCAGATCTCTGTGTACAGAAAAAGTTCGTTCAACCCCTCCAACCTTCTCGGTCTTAATCCATCTATGATAAAGTATGGTAATCCCTAATCATATTTTGGTTCTACCAATTTTTTTTATTTTGTCTATTCAATTTGTATACTCTTCCTTTATTACGTCAATTGTTACTATTACTATTCTCACTTTGAACTGTCCCCGGTATTATTTCACTTGTCATTCTAAATCAATTCTGTTTTGCAACATTAAATATTCCTTAATAACTCTTCATTTTTCCAAAATTATGCATTACGCCATCCATGTGTTTCAACCATTTCTACCTTTTAATTGTGTGTAATAATTTTCTCCGTTAATTATCACCCCATTGACATGTTGATACTGACTGGTTATTGTTAACAAACATATCTCCACTTGATTGGTAAATTGTTGTGTATTGTAATAAAAATGCTACATATAGGTTGGTTCTAGGGGCTTTGTTCGTTTGTCTTGCTGTCTGGAATCTCGGCGCTCGCTGATGTTAACCTGTTTCTCTTTGTTTACCATTGCGATTGTGTCTGCGTAACCCCATCTCAAAGTGACCATATGTGGTCCTTCCCACTTTGGAAACTGTTTGCCTGACCCTGTCGCACATTCGTCGGTATTTCGCCTGACACTTTCATATGCTGCTTTCTCCCGACCTCCCAGCAGCGTCCCAAGTAACAGCCTCATCGCTGACAGATCTTGAACGCCACTCAACTGCGCAGAAGCCTCGAACTCCTGCCCGAAGATCCATATGTCTCCATCAAAAACTGCAGGGTATAGGCTTTCCATTTGTCGGTAGGCAGCGACACCAAATGTAACAACAGAAGACAAGGGCCAGGCAACAGATCGTTTATTTAGGAAATCAACAGATATTTATAGATTTTCATGTACATTATTATAGATTATTTTAAGCGAACAAACACAGTCTTCTGATTAGTGGTTTCTCACTGAACGTTAATCCTTCATCTCTTTGTGGCCGCTTCTTGAAGTTCAGATTATCTATCTGCAAATTGTATCCGCCTACGCAAAGTCTGCTGTGATTGGTTGTTGAGTCAGTCTTTGTTCTTATTTTTCTCATGACCAATATTGGGGACGTAAACATTGACGTAAATTACTGTCTAACAATTTTGGCTAGCAGCCAGCTCTCACCACAGGTAAAGTTAGGTATAGTTAACAAGCGAAAATTCTACTCTATTCATTTGAGTGATGAATTTATTCATGTACACTAATCTGAAAGGAAAAGTGATAACCCTTGAGTAATAATAATAATATTAAATACTTTACAAAATACCCCAGTGAAATGTTTACCTATAAAAATTTGAAGAATGCATAAAGAAGGCTGACTGTCATGACGGTTGAACATACAGCTACTTAAATTCTTTATGTATTGATATAAAAGGACATCTCAAAGAATACTGTGATCAGAATAAGTGTTGCTTTGATAAGAAAATTCCTTATTCATAGATTTATTTGTTTTTATAACACTTGAAAGACGCTGTCAATAGCATGTCGAAAAAAAATCATCTTAAATCCTTTTTAGGCTAAATAAATATCATTTCTTATGCAGTTTAGTGTGTAAGAGAAGCGAGGTGGGTGAATATATACCAAAAAAGATGGAAGAATAATGGGATGATAAGCTTTGTCTAGTGCTATTTTCTAACATGTGTACATATCGTATCGTTTGCTAGACCTTACCTTGATAACCCACTTTGAGCAGACAAAAATGTATAATACTTCCTATAAATCCCATGAGCACTTATTTTTATTGCTTTCATTTGCATAACATTTCGCGGTTTCGGAAGTCAGTATAATGATACTTAACCAATGGTTGAATATTAACTATTTAAACAACAGTTCAGGGAAGACACTGACAACTGAAGTGTAATTGAAACTTCAATAGCGGCTACATTTTGAAGCTTAGCTGGTAGCTTTCTAGTGACCGATAACCTGCAGATTAATGGCTAAAACATTACTAAGAAAAAGTTTGTTTTTGAACTGCATTGCGCGATAATCGTTTGTTCTACAACTTTATTCTTCAATTTAAGCAGATTGCCTTTAAATATATATATATATATATATATATATATATATATATAAGTAGAGAATATGGGGTTTAGAATTGAAAAATTGGTTTTTACTATCTTACATTTAATGTATTATCAAATTTGGATCGTAAATACACTTCCAGCATTCTAACTAAACTATTTTACTTTCTTGATATTGTGTTGATTTCCATGTCTTTTTCGTGTCGTCTCATTAGTTGAGTAGACTTAAGGATAAAAAGGATAAAACCTGGGCAGTGTGACAGAGTATAAGTCCATTATGGATAAAATTTTATTTTGATAAAATCACACAGTGGTGAACAGTAATATTTACTGATCACGATGTTTTGTGCGCGATTTATTGCCGCTCATAATCATATCAAGGCACTCACACAACTTTCTTGCTTCATTCATATGCATGAGGAGAGATTAGTGATTAGACATTTGGATAAAATCAAAATAAGATAAAGTACATTCAAAATAATATTAGTGTTATCAATAAAATACAATAGGATGGGAAATAAAATGTTTTCATAGTAAAATAAATAAATAACATGAATTGAATACATTTTAACATTATTTATTATCCTCCTCTGATTTGACTGGTAATAATATCTTCCATATCTCTGGTATTTGCGTTGAGTTATTTCTGTTGCATGTGTTGAGTGTAGACTCGATGAACAAGGATTCAGTAATCAACCTCTCTCCACCCACCTATATTACTTCTTAGAATTTTAACCGTCTCCCACCCTATTGTGTGGTTGTGCATTAATGCACGTAGTGAAATTGTTGAGCTTTTTTCTAAATTCCTTATCTTCGCGGGATCAACCATTCTAACCTTAGCTAAATTCTTATGTTCTGATAATCTCACTACTCCTTCCTGATCTACTAGTTTGACCTATGTAGTTGACTTAACTCACAGTCATTGCAAGGTATTTTGTAAATTATATTATTTTGTTTAATTGGGTCCACCGGGTCCTTTAGCTTACACAGCTTGTCCTGCCTGAGTGAGTTTTTAGGTTGAAATGCCATCCTAATTCCTGCTTTATTGAGAATCCTACATAGGGTCTCAGATGTCCCCTCCTTATATGGTAGAACTGTAGATGCCTTATATTCTTTCTTATTTATGTTATCATTATAATTTTCCCCATTATTTTTATTTTGCTTTTGACTTTTTTTGATCTTCCTAATGAATTTTATAGGATAGTTATTTAGCACCAATGCTTCTTCCATCTGTTTTATTTCATCGTTAAGGTTTTTTGTTGTACTACTTAGTGCTATTAATCGGTTTGTTAGACAATTAACTAAGTTGATTGCTGAATCCTGATTCATCGAGGCTATACCCAACACATGCAATAGAAGTGACTCAACGCGAATACCAGAGATATGGAAGATATTTATTTATTTTACTATGAAAACATCTTATATCCCATCATATTGTATTTTATTGATAACACTAATATTATTTCCGAATGTACTTTATCTTATATTGATATTATTCAAATGTCTAATCATCAATCCAAGGCTACATGGGTGTCACCAGATGGGCGAACCAAAAACCAAATTGACTTCATCTCAATCTCAAGGAAGTGGAGGCGCAGCCTACTGGACACAAAGTAAGAAGAGGAGCAGACGTTGGCTCAGACCACTATCTCGTACAAGGGACAATCCAAATCAAATTAAAAGCTTTCAGAGAAACAGGAGCTGCAGATAGACCACAAGCCAAGTTCAATACTCAAAAACTGTAGGACCAGGATACAAAGGACATCTTCACTGCAAGCATAAAGGAAAAAGCTGAGACACAAATCAACACTAGCGTAGAGGTCAACGTTGAGAAGCATTGGAACAACCTGAAAGTGGTATGGAATCAAACCTGCATGGAAGTTCTAGGCAGAAAGAAGAGACAGGACAAACAGTGGCTCACTACGGACACTTAGAGACTAATAGAAGAGAGAAAGATGGTGAAACAAAAAATTATCCAGTGCATCGACGAGCGACAAAAACAGGAGTTGAATGCAAGCTACAATACACTGAACAAAAGAGTAAAGAAGAGTGCCAGGGAAGACAAAAGAAAATATTATGAAGCCATGGCAAGTGAAGCAGCCCTCGAGTGGAACCCGAAAGGGAAGCGGCGAGTTGGTCGTCCAAGGGTGACTTGGAGGAGGTCATGTGAAGAGGAGATGAAAGCATGTGGGCAGACTTGGAGCCAGTAAAACTCTAGCAGAGAACCAAACGCAGTGGAGACGCGCGGCTGAAGCCCTATGTTCCTCTAGGAATTAAAGGAAATAATAATAATCAATCTCTCCTCATGCATATAAATGAAGCAAGAAAGTTGTGTGAGTGCCTTGATATGATTATGAGCGGCAATAAATTGCGCTCAAAACGTCGTCATCAGTAAGTGTTACTGTACAACACTGTATGATTTATCAAAATTAAATTTTATCCATAATGCACTTAGGGATAAAAACTTGACATCGAGAGAAAACTTCGTGTAGTAGATAGGCTTCAATATACATAAATTTAACTTGAGATTTAAACAGTTTCATTTGTACATGAATTACAAAAATGTAACACTTCTCTAATGTAAAGAAAAAGGGCGTTAACATGGTCATATCTTTGAACTGAATGTATTTGAGTAAAATGGTGATAATGGTAACAGAGCCAATCCTTGATAATGACAAAAAAGAAGTTTAAATAAGAAGACATAAAATACCACTGATGAACCAATAAAATAATATTTTGAATTGATAAAGAAATTATATGAAATCCCAAACTTAGTGAAATAAACAATTCAACAGTTTTAAAATAGTTAAGCGTTAAAAAGTTAATATAAACAGCATGCTTATACCAACTAAACCTGCACCGCAGTTCAGAGGGAAAGCGGTCATCGATGGTGCTTTCCAGACTGTCAGTTTACAGGATTATTTAGGGAAATATGTGGTCTTGTTTTTCTATCCTGCTGACTTGTAAGTTTCTTTTTTTTGATTTTTCGATTACAACTTGATTCCACACTGTATTTTTGGTACAAGTATGGAATTTTCAGCATGTGATATCGGTAGCCCAAATTTTCCAGGCCGACCATTGATATCAGGTGTGCGTCGGCTGGGGATCGAACCCCGGACCATGTGCATGGTCGGCGAGAGTCCTAACCACTGTGCCACCGACGCACATACTGTTTTATTTAAACATGTAATGAATATATATATATATATCCAAAGAAATTATTTGCTAAAGTTTGATGTGACGCATATATTAACCATGCAAAGATTTAGTCAAATAAAGTACGATTCGTGTTCAATATTCAACAGATTTAAGCGGTTTAAGTATATGCATATCGATCTGTGGCTTGATTTGAGGTCATATGGAAACATTGATTGTTTGGACTTTATTTATGAGTAATATAATCACTGAAATCTTAAAATGTGATTCCTTTTTCACATCAGTAGAATAACAACTGAACAGGACAATTGTTTGAATAACTCAACACACACACACACTCAAATTTCGGAAGAAATTGACTGTTACTCTAATTGGCTTTATCTTCATGTTTTTATAAAAAATTTAATACTCTAGGCTGGTTGTGTGTGTTTCTTTTAAATAAATCCAGTGAATAATATACATTCAGTGGGTTACGTAAACAGTGTCTATCCATCAGTAGCTTAAAATCACCATCACCAGTGTATGAAGTCTATCACCTGAAATCTGAAGTTTTATAATACATCCTGTGATTGTTTAAATAGTTTCGGCGATCCCCTTCAAATACCTACAAACTGGTAGTATTTGTTGTATGATGTGGTTTTAATTTTTTAATCGTACAACTTCTGTCCACCTCTTTAAACCCTATACGAAATAAACACTGTGGCATGCACTTTGATTCAGTAGTCCAGAAACCTGACTTTCAAATATTTGATTACAAGTTCTAAACTCACTCCACTTATAAAGTCTGGATGCCCAGACAGTGACTTTATCAGTAACTCGATAGGTTTAGCTGATTCTTAAATACATGCGTCTTGTATATACCATAGTTAACTATTCCCAACCAAATTAATGATCATGATAATCGATAGATTTTATGTAAGCTACTCCTTAAAATGCATAAGTGATTTTAATTCTTACAAGAACTTTTATACACTTCTAATTATATTCACTTTAAAGTGTAAGTATCTCGTTACAAAACCAAAACTATGATTTAAAACTCGACTTAAACATATTTTCGGTTTGGGGAAATCGTGAGTGAGGATAAGAAACAATCGCGAAGTGTTTTCTTTCGAATAGCACAGCAAACGCCACAAAAGATATTCTAGTTGTGTAAAACCGTTTATTGAGCACCTTTAAAACAGCCAGACGTAACATCTGATATGATTAAAACATTCCTTTAGGCAAGTAATAGAAAATCACATAAAACTTACTACCTGAGGGAATTAAAATCATAATTGATCACCTCCATTCTACTCATTCAAGTAAGCTGAAACGAAGATGCGGTGAGTTTGTTTTGCTTTAAGTCATCTGCTCAATCGAAAACTGTATAGCGTTTTTACAAAACTTGGAGTAGTTGAAATAATGACTCTTCCCAAAATCATCAACAGTGTCATCCACCAGGGTGAATATACACTGGTAAAACAGCAGTTCATACTAACTGCTTATGTAATCTACACCGACATTATTTCATACTGTGCTCCAACACATTAGTGAGCACTGAATAGCTGTCAAGAAAATCATTGTTTTACTTCAACATAAATGACTTTTACTACTCGGATTTTAAAATTTAAAGATACTGAAATAATTTAAATTGGAGTTGATACCTTTCTTTATCTTTTCTTAGCTAATGACTGCCTTTTACCTTTCCTATACATGATTCTTTCGTATCTTTAAGTAACACTAATTAACTTTATATTTATCAAGTTGTGGAGTCACTAATCATAAAATAATTTTGCGTCTCTTAATATGATGCATGCTGGGAGATTCGCCAGACATCTAGGTGGTCCGGATTCGCTTCCCGGTTGACTCACCCCTGAGCCTCGCCTAGTTTACTAGGCGGTAACAAGTTCGGAAAAATAAGGAAGATTGGACATGAGTCCAACAACTCCATCCCGTAGAAACAACATTCCTAATGGATCTTCATAGTTAGAATCTTTATATTCTACTAAGAACGCAAAGAATGAGAAAGGATTTCAATATGGATTGTTTACTTTTGTGCCCTCTGATTGGATGAACTAACAGAAGTACTTAGGTCACTAAAAACTCTCATCTATCTTCCATGTCGGCTCCTGGTATGGATGCTTCGACAGTGGTTTAAGGTTGACCTGATACTATGGCATTCAGGGTGCTATATACTACTGATTGGCTTATATGAGTAGTTGGACACCATTGACACCTAGTAGTAGTGCTTGTTAGCCAGATACAATTGATCTAAACACTGGACGCACGTTTCGCTCGTTTGGGGCCAAGCTCATCAGCTCAGACAGCCGAATCAGTTCAAATTGCATAAATGGCAAATTTAATTCAGTGTACTGAAAGCTTACACAACTACCTAACCAGAATTTGGGTGATCTGCCGAACTGCGTAAATTCGCAATTAACTAGTAAATCGTTCATTTCATTTAACATTTTCCACTTTCGTTTTTGACAATTATGTAAATGCTTCTCATTACAGGATAAACATAAGTGATAAAATACACTGAATTATTTCAGGGACTTCTGATCAAATTCAGCTTCCTTCGCAAATCCGCATCCACTGAATAAAAAAGCATTTTGCAGCATATTTCCAGTCAGGAAATTTGATGAGAAATATAAAGTCAATTGAACACAAACTTGATATACGCATAATGAGATTCATCAAAACTTTTCAGCTTATGTAAAATACCACACTTAAAAGCAAACGAATCAATCGAAAAGTCACATTATTATTATTGTTCCCTTGGGTCCCTAGTGGAACATACGGCTTCAAAAACACATCTCCATTTTGTCCTATTTTCTGCAGTCGTCTTTAGCTGGCCTCACGATTGCCCATAATCTCTCATCTCCTCCTCATATGATCTCCTCCATGTCACCCTCGTAACGACGACCCACGCGTTGTTTTCCGTTCGGATTCCACTCAAGCAATGGCCTGCATTGCGCGCGATGTCATTTGACGGCCTCCTCAACGTATGCCTGATCCATATCCATTTTCTCCTAAATATTTGTTGAGTGATCGGCTCTTGGTTGGTTTTTTGCCGAAGTTTCTTGTTGTTAATTCTTTCTCGCAGGTTGGCCATTTGTTCTTCAGTACGGAGCCAGCCAGCGAAGGAGGCAGTTGTTGATTAAAGTCTGTAACTTGTTGGAAATCCTTTTTGTGATATGCAGTGCAAGTTTTTGACCTATATGGAAGAAGTAAATGACTTTACATTTGTGATGAAAATCTGAATCTTGTTGTTTATGCTGCGGAGTGTAGAAGATTTCCAAACTGATTTCAGATTGATGAAGACGTAACTTGCCCTCACGATTCTGGTTGGCTTTGACATTTGCATCCGTTCCGAGTGGCTGTAGTTGGAAGGAGGAAGTAACCTGTGTCAAATCTCTCCCGCTGATGGTGACTGGTGCTGGTTGTTGTTGTTGCTTTAGGTTGGTTATCTTGATCACCACAGTCTTCTCTATGTTCACCTGCAGTCCTGTCTTCGCTGTCGACCTCTTCTGTCATCTTGATGGTTTCCGCCTGCAAGTCTTCCAGTCTGTCTGACATTTAAGCATGAATCATTTACGAAATCCAAATCTTATGTAGTCTTCTTATTGGTTCAGCAAATTCCTGTCTTCTCGTTCCCCATATTTTGCCGTATACTCCAGTCCACCAAAATATCGAAAAGCTATAGATAATTTGAAAAATTAAGTTTGCAGCTCCTAGATTAATAATTAAATGGAAACTCATTAGGCAGAATAAAATGTATGTGGAAAATATTGTTTAAGAAGAGCTTTACAAAAGCTCACTTAAAGATACAACACTTTAGGTAATCGGAAATACTAAGAAGAATATTTATAATTCCATGAGTAAGTGACGAAGTAATTTATGCAGTGTTTTCTTTTCATTCCTTTAACAGCACATTTGTATGTCCAACTGAAATCATAGCGTTCAGTGAACGTAATGAAGAATTTGAGAAAAGAAACTGTCAATTAATTGCTTGCTCAACAGATTCTGAATACTGCCACCTGGCATGGACGAAAATGGAACGTAACGCAGGTGGACTAGGTCCTATGAAAATACCTATTCTAGCTGACCCAACGAAAACAATTGCACGGTCCTATGGCGTTCTTGACGACGTGGAGGGTAATGCATTTAGGTAAGTCTTATTTGACCAATGCACGAATACAATCATTCATATGTTTAATAAGGAGAGCGTATACAGGTTGAAACTAATAAGGAATTGGAATAATATCACTACCTTAAGGGAATTAAAATGAAACGACACTACAAATTTAGATTATGGGTTTCATGAGATTCTGGATTAATCTCAGTGTAGATTTCCTCACGAACCAACACCAGTTAGACATCATTGAAAACCACGGAACACTGGACAGCTGTGTGACAGGCTTCATCAGTGCACACCAACGACCACACCGAGGATCGGGCCTGGGGCCTTGAAGTTACAATGACAAGTTGGTCGACCATTCAGCCCCTTTGTGGTGGTGTGATGCAGACAATGTGTGCCAACGGAATACTATTCTCAATTCCCACATTTCAATACAGCGTTAGCAACAAAATACGATATATCTACTTGAACATCTTATTTAATGTTAGAGACAGAATACTTTTCCAACAGTTCAATACAGCGTTAGTAACAGAATACTATGTATTTGAACATTCTATTTCATGTCGTTTGATGTAAGCCGAAATCACACGCTCAATGATTGGCTAGAGAATATAAAACTATATATATATATATATATATAAATACAGGTTTGATCACCTGAAAATATACCTTGGCTTCAGTGTCTTGCCTTCTGTTGCTACAACTTGAGCCGGAATTCAGTGACCCGTGAATTCTACCTCCAATCAGTGCCATTGGTCAACATCCACTCCATTTTGACAAATCCCTACAAAGACCCGTAATCCAGCTCACTCATGGCTACCGGATGGATATTCTGAAGCTGTCGTGAGAAGTCATCACCAGTGAGCTTCACCATGTCAAAATGAAATGGATGTTCGTCAGAAGCATTGGTTGAGAGTATTGCTACATCACGAAATGACAAAGTTACAATTCACTGTTCACCAGAATTCCAGATCAAGTGGCTGGATGGTCAATGATCTTGATCTGGTCACCTGAAGGTTCTGGCTTCGATCTCTGATGGTGTTGTAGGTATGAACTGTTGAAGAGTCCCAAATTAGGACGTAAAAGCTGTCCATTGCCCCCCCCTGGTTTTCACTGATGTCTAACTGATACTGGTTAGTGACTAAGTGTACATTGAATCTATAAGTATTTATACTACAGAACCGTTTCTTCAGAACATAATCTGGAAATCTTACTGTCAGCCGACACTACGGATTAATAATATTCAGTCATTATATTAGTTGATGTGAGAGTCAAATAGTCTGTTTTGTTCCCTTAATAACATCTGAATTCTTAATAGAATGAATGTGGCCACCTAGCTGTCTAAAAGCAACACAACAGATCGAGTTATATATATATATATCAGTGTTGCTGAAAAACTGCATGGAAGTCAATACACTCGGCTGTGAGTCAAATCTAACACCCGAGAGCTGATAGCAATACCTGGCTGCCTAAACCATGGTAGGTTAAGTAGTGTTCTAACCTTTGGTACTCACATTGAAAGGTGATAATAAGGGACGCATAACCAAAGTACGTTACAACGACACAACTCAACGGTAATGGTTTTGAATATGATTCTGATCACTTCTCAATTAACTGAATCTACGTAAAACTGACTTCAAGTAAAATGAGTGAAAGTGTTCAGTTAGTATCTACTAGCAAAGCGGAGATCATTCGCTGTACATATATGTATAAATTAGAATACAAAAGGGAAAAGTAATATTATACTTCTTAACTGGAGATTAAAAATTTTACTAACTAATTATTTTGTCTCTTGGATGCCTGAATTTTAGAGACTCACTATCTAAAGAAACATAGCACGCCTAAATTGTCTTCAGTGTAAACACGAATTTAAAGTACATCAAAAATTTAGTGCTTCCTGTTAATAGAAAGGGAGGCGATGTTTACTTTACTACACCGACAGTAACCAGTGCAGTTTATAACTTCGAAGTTCTAACATTTGTTATTATTAAAACATAAACTTGGTAGATTATTAGCACCAAGAGATGTGCCACACAAAAGTAATAAAACAACAGTATATAGGGAAAATAGAGATAGAGTAACTGAAGGACATCATCCAGAAAGCAAGTAAGCATACTTGTCAAAATCATTCAAAGTACGCTTCATTACTTCATATCACTTTTGAAAAGGGAAGTAAGAAAAAAAACTCCAACATATTCACCGTTGATTACTACTCATGGTTATATCTGCTAACATCTCAAGCCATAGATTCAAATCACCTCTTGGACTTCACCCAGGGAGTCGTGATACAGTGAGGGATGCTAATCTAACACATATATCCTTCATCCCACAGAGTCACTTTATAGACTGACCATCCGTTTGCTTTTTCCACTCAATCCCAAGGATGTCAAAGAGTGAGCAGTATGGGGATCTCTAAGATGACATCCGTAACACATGCCCAAGCAACCGAAACGAGTGTTCTGAGATGACAACACTCAAAGATGGCCTTCACCGTATCCCAACAAACGCTTCTGGACCTCAGAATTATTTACATGATGGTGCCACCAGTTGCAAGCGATTCTACGGAGTCAGTGATGATCGAAGTTGCCACACATCCTCATCTCAGAGAGGCCACGTTTCACAGGAGTAGAGAAAGAGTGTGAGCATCGAAGCATTGTACACTCGACCTTTGACAGCCAGGCTGACGTCACGACGGTGTCGGGGGTGACCCAAGTTGGCGTATGCCGAGCTGGCTTTCACTATACGCTTAGGGATTTAATCCGTCACACCTTCTGCAGGACTTACACAGCTACCTAGATACACAAACTTATCGTCAACCCCAAGCGGTTTACCTACAAAACGGACTTCACTAGTAGTACAGACATATACATGGACATGTTAAGCTAATTTTTCTAGTCAACCATACTATATTGCACTATTATCTTAGACTAGCAATGCAATCAGCTGTATTAAATCCTGTTTCATTCTATCATATTTTATATTATTAAAATTGCAGAGGACTATTCATAATCGATACGAAAGGTATACTTCGTCAGATAACAGTTAATGATCGTTCAGTGGGTAGATCTGTTGATGAAGTTATCCGACTATTGGATGCATTCCAGTTTGTTGAAAAGCATGGAGAAGTATGTCCAGCTAATTGGAAAGCTGGCAAAAAGACAATCAAACCAGATCCAAGTGCCAGTAAAGAGTTTTTCTCTGGATCAACATAAAATTTTGTCGAACTAGTTTTTATCAGTTATTTCACCTGTAGAACAATGAACAAGATTATCTTAGTTGAATTTATTTCACTTTAATTATTCTCACACAATAAATAGAAATACGTGTACTAAAACAAAATACTTCTACAAATGATCACGACTACCTACGAATGAATAATTGGAATGATACTCTTCAAATAAAATCTCCATTCCAACTTATAAGGGACGATGTTGATGACGAGGTACGAACGTTACTCAGTGATATAAGTAAAAATGTACTGAATAATGGTAGATGAAACTTTTTACTTCAGGCTTATACATAAAGAACAATGAAATTTGAATTTAAGTAGCCTTATAGATAATGTCTAAAGCTATGCCAACAGAATTCACAAGTCGAGGAACACAGGAACAACCAGTACAAGTAACTAAACCTTACTGACTTATAAATTAGTAAAATAAAAGAGAAGCAATACTACGAAACGAATTCATCATACATTTAGTATACATTAGAGAAAACAAGATATTTCCTAAAGAATATAAACAGTGATAGTCAAGAGGCAACGAGTACTATCGATTAAATTGACACAACCTTAAGTAAGATTCATTCTCGAATTCGGGCTACAATTCATGGGTTAGTGAATTCCAATACAGTGATTCAGTGGTAATAGTGTCTAGCTTTTTAACTGAAGGCCCTGCTTGGTTCGATTTTTGGCGGCATCGTGGGTAATGTATTGCTAGGAAGTCGAAAACTAGGATGAAACAGCAGTTTAGTGTCCCTTAGCTTAAATTCAATTGGCTTTTTGTAACTAAAAGTGGGTGAAGCTCAACTATTAAAAAAATATATCTGCAGTATTGTATTTATTATTGGGTGACATATTCCATAAAAGTAATTAAAGGAGATACAAGTAGAAAGGTTGAAAAACATACCTAACTGACTGAATTTCAACATAAAACTTTACAAACAAGTACATCAGTTCAAGTTGCCACACTCCATGTGACACAAAGATAAAGAAAAGAAATTCAAAAGACTTGCAGTGAGCAGAAATGTACCGAAGAAAGAATAATAACATGCAAAAGAACAGGAAGGTTTAGTGGACATACAAAGAATCTGCACCACTGGGATCGATTTTTAGCCATTTCACCAACATTCTCCAGTTATCACTACTTATCATCCCGACGGCCCCAGCTACGCAATGCATACCTCTTTAGGGATTGAGAGAGTGTTGACGTTCACAGATAGTACGACGCACATTAACGCGAAATCTCACACCCAAAACTCCTACAGTATTTGTTCCGCGTAGACAAAAGACAGATCAGAACACCAACTTGATCGTCCAAAATAGGAAAAGAATTTCGGGACCAAAATCGCAGTACGAGGATGACTGCTTAACTAGCTAGGGATCGTGCACGAACGACCCTACCGATAGCTGCTACCTTGATGTGGTGGTCGGGCTTGCATATCACAGTGAACCAGCATGCTACACTGTCTGGAACTAATCTTCCTTCAGGTCCTACCATGTCAGGAAGATTGTTAGGATAGCGATTAGAATAAAATCAGATACTGGCATAGTGCAAGATTCTTCTACACTATGCCGGGCTCTGTGGGCAAAGTCGTACTGCCGGCGAACAGGGATGTAACAGCAGTAAGGTATTCCCCTCAGATGACCAGCATACCAGTAAGTTATGCTGTCTCTCCACTCTGGACACAGGGGGTTAGAAAACGTCGACCCCAGAGATTGCACATCCCGGCTTACCCTACAGTGTTCCGTTCCGTAGCCGGCGGTAAGTTACTAATATGTAAACAAACCAAAAAGCCAGTTCAAACAGGCCGTGTGTGACCGACCTCAATCAGTTGTCCCCTGGGCTCTGTGGTCACGCAACATTAATTCTGTTTCTGTTTCAGGTACCCTAAGAAAAAATCAACTTCCACGGTGTGGACAGCCGGTAAGTAACAACTGCCCACACACTTCCAAAAGCACACGAAGCACGAACAACCGAACGTAACACGACAGCGTACTAAGCGGTGTGGATGCTTGACCGTGAGCTTTTAACTTAATGAGCCGACTTATACAGTGCAGGTCAGCATCCAATGTTGACTGGTGAATGCTGTAGGCTGGTAATTTTGAGGAATTATCTACCACTACCTCTCTACGCGGCTTAAACCAACAGTCAAACACTTTATAGACTGATGCCATGTTTTTATTTGACTAGCACTATTTCCTTTCCAACCTAATTCTACGGTTCACGGGGAAGGCGACCAGCTGGCGTTGGTATCGAAATGTCCTAGACATCTCAATGAATGCAGCTGCAAAACTTCATCGACTAACTTACCCTCCTTACCTGGCACTCTACGTCCAACTTCATTATTTATCCCTTAGCGCGGGAAATAGAACATAAATATCTGTGGTAAAAGACAGCCACCACTTTCATGTTTCTCACTCTCAACAGCCATGTCTCCCAACCATAAAGGAGGACAGACCAAACTAGTGAGTACACACTTCCCTTGATCGATAACTAGACATCACGCCTAATTCAGACATGAGGTAAACTGGAAAATTTTGCTCGAGTTCTTTGTATCAGTGCTGAGCCCAGTCCTAATGGACAGATTGCTGACAGGACCTCAGAACGAAAAACCTACTACAAAAAAGTTAGTGAATGACAAGGATGAAACATTTTGTTACTTCAGAACAATGATTGAAAATTAGTTCTAATGATAAGGTATTCTTTTTGTGATTTAAGAAGAACAGCGTACACTGATATACTTGGTTTCTACACCTTAATGACAAGACTATCAGCAAGCTTAAATGTTTATCTTTGTGAAGTAGTGAATACTCAAATACAGGATGTCAACATTTAAGAAATAACAGTTGGCTATAATGACGTGGCAATGAGTATTTAACGTAGACTCAAGAAGTTATTGCACTGTTGATGCAGATTCAAATAAGCGTACACTGTTCACATATGACCACGTCGGAGACCGAACACGGCTTCTAAATTGTGAGGTGAACCCATTGACCATTTAGCCACTGGGACGTGGAAAGCAATTGGAGTTTATCTTCTCTACATAAAAGTAGCTAAATGTAACCAGTGTTTCTATTAGAGATTCAAATGAAAAAATATATATACGACAATTAGAAAATCGTGATAGCAATAATAAGTTTGATTTGCTTAACCGTCAAATCAGTTGAAGTGAATTTAGAATGAATATTTGCACATCACAAACAGTTCTAATTTTAATTATACTTCGAGCAAAACTACTACACTTTGGAATACCAATTACTGGAATTCCCAACTCATAAGTAGCTCATTCTAAATATTTTGCTTGAACTATTGCCGAATTAGAACTTATCACTGTGTGCTAGCACAAATTACGAATGCACTTTTATTAATACAATTTATTCAGAATTTTATTGAGACATCTAGAAACAAACACCATTCGCTAACTATACTTATACGTGATTCATGTAGGGTTGACTTTGAATAATAGCAATTACTTGTGATCAGAGATGCTGTTAACAGACCAAATCACTATTACGTAACAATGTGATGAAATATACTAGTGATCAATTTATATGAGTGGTTGGAGACCACTGACATGAAACGGCGATGATTGCTAGCCGAATTTAAGCCATCTTAACACCTGACGCCAATTTCGATCATTTAGAGCTGAGTGCACCAGTGATTACCGGGTATGACTCAGCTCAGAAAACCCAATCAGTTCACCCGATTTAGGACTAGTTACTTGGGAAAACTGGTAATACATGGAATCCAATTCGTCACTTGTGAATGTGTCTCTCAGTTAATCTTAACGTACCATTACTGCCATCATGTTCTATTGCCAGAAGCTGTGAAGCCCCTACAAAAGCCGGTTTAATGAAAGGTTTGTCTGCTGAGCACTAAACCATGTGACACAACAAACGACAGTAAACGGCATTATGACTAAAATGTTTCAAGTCTGAAAGGCGACTGCGACTTTTGTACCCCTATATGACGAATCCATTCCATTCTGAAATTTTTATATACATATATAGTTTTGAAACCAAAACAACTTCAGCGATACGTTCCATCCCTTTCTCTATGCATCAAAGAAAACAAAAGGCTACTAAAATGCAAGTGCCCAAAATCATTCTTTACTGGTACGCATCCTTCGTTGTAGGTGAACAAAGAGAAATGCTTGAGCTTTGTTCAAGTAAGCTGATGAATCCTAAGTAACTTTTTGCGCAGAAATTTTGTATACTACTTATTTGAACACAATTAGGAAAAGTGGAACAATGATGAAGTATGTTGTTAAAGAAAAATGAGAAATAAAATCAGAACTACTGGTGTGGTTTAGGTGTCTTCAAGACTTATTCATTAAAAGAATTGCCGTATGACGATATTGTAGTCAACCTCGCGATCACATACCAATGAACTATTTCAACATAAGCACATTATGTAACACTCCAGAACACATGTTGAGGGAGATTTTCAATTCTAGCCATGAAATGCACACCCTATCTTCTAGTAAGTTTGAATGAACATACTATGCAGCATTGACTGAAATGGCTAGAAACAAACTAATCGAACTGTGAATTCCGTCTGCCAACCATATTCTGCAATCACCAAGTGTCAGTTATCCAGTCTTGACCGTAAGCCAATCCATCTATACTTCGTAGACAGTAACCACTAGTTTGTGATTATTTTCTCTAAGCCGATATCTTTCATATAATAATAATAGTACTATTCCTTTCGATTCCGAGTGGAACATAGGACTTCAGCAGTGCGTCACTCTGTTATCTGCAATCGCTTTTAGTTGGCCCCACGACTGTCTATAAGCTTTCATCTTCTACTCACACAATCTCCTCAAAATCACCATCAAGCCTGTGCTCAACTCTGTTTCCCACTTGGATTCCTCTAGAGGGCTCGGCAAATTATGCTGTTCAACAGTCTCCTCGGCGTATTTCCAATCCACTTCCATTTTCCTCTGCATATTTGTTAGGCGATGGGTTCTTGGTTAGTTTGTTCACAGAGTCCCGAGTTATTTATTCTTTCTGACCGGTCATATTATCTTCAGTATCATGAAGGGGTAGATGTTGATGAAAGTCTAGAGCTTCTCGTGACGTGGCAGGTCTCCGAACAGAAGCACCG